GACCTGTGAAGGCTGTATGTGCGGAACAAAAAAATATGTTCGTGCTACTTGACAATTCTGGGAAGCAGACAAACTGCTCGGCTGTTAGCAAAAGTGTTCAAAACTGCGGTCACCATTACAATACCACTTGGCTCAGTCATGGGAGGACGTTGCCATGATGCAAAATGAATGCATCAAGTGGCATAGCCTATAGATTCGGGAGAAGGCGAGTCATTCTTACCGCTGCAGCATCGACTTCTGGGTCAGAAACTTCCTTCCTCCCTAAGTGCAAGAATACAATACACGAGATACGAGTCAGGTCTGCACCATCAGTAGAAGTTCAGTCTACACATTCACTGCAGCGTGGCATCACTGGCTTTTCAAGCTGCCAAAAATAAATACTATTCTACTGGATTCCCAGAATTCTCAGGATCGCCCCAACATCGATCCTATATTCTTTCTCTTGGCAGTGCCAACAAGTCCACAAAAGACAAAACAAACAGCACAGTTGGAAAACTGGGGGTACATGAGCCACGGTAACGGTAGTAGCCTAGCGGATCATGGCCAGCAATCGAGGACATCTGAGAGTTGTAATTTTTGTACTCCTCCGAGGTGTGATTTTTGGCGTGCTGGGCCAAGCACAAGGAAGCCATCTGCAAAAAAACTGCAGAAAATGGTTGTTGTTTGATCCTTTGGTGTAATCTTTGTTTCTAGTCGAAGCTAGTTGCTGTTTGGAGCAGAAACGCTGAAATTGACTATTTTCTGCATGTACTCATACATATACTCATGTACTCAGGCATGCAGTCTCACTCGTATTTTAGCTCTTTTTCTGGAATGGATGCTGCTCTGCGCCCCTTGGTGAACAATTCCTGCGCTCGTGGAGCAGCTGAAAAGGACCACTGGTATGTCTGGTTCCTGGTTTGAAAGTGGAGAGGCGACTTTTGTGCCTTGAAAAAGGAGTAGGGAGCGATAAAGGTACGTCTGTGGCTTATTTTTCAGTGCTCCTCGTACATTTTTGATCGTGATAGAAATTCTCAGACCAAAGTCGAGATGATGGCCGTACAGTTTTCTTGTGGATTTTTTAGTTGTTTCATCTCGTATCTATGTCAGTATCGTGATGGTGAAGTGGAGAGGGTGATTTTCTTCCTCTAGGCTTCGTTCGGCCGACTTTGCTTCGTCCTCGTTGAAAAGTGATCCTGAAAAAAAGGTCGATTCGCAAAATTATGTTGATTTTCAATGTACGTGATGACATGCGATTGCTGGCTATGAATCATAATGTGACTAGGCTAGCAGTAGCTACATGCTTTAGGCATGATGTCCCAGGTGCATTGTTCAGCTGAAAGGTGAGTGCACTGCACTAGCCACTTTAAAAATGTGTCAAAGAAGAAGATTCACAGTAACTTACGTGCACCCGAGATGCTGACTATCCTTTCTTGCTCTGCGGCAATGAACAGAATAAGAACAGAATAAGAACAGAATAAGGAATCAATGGTAAGGAGTACATCTTTTAAAACTCAGGTTTCAGCCCCAACTATTTCATTTGTCCCAGACAAACAACTGCAAAGAGAGGAGTCCTCCAGCCCAAGAGATTGTTCAATGCTCCTATCAACAGAGTAATCTCATACAGGAGTTACAGAGTACCGTACTTCCGCTTTATTGATACCGAAACTTGACTGGCAACCATCTCGCTTGGAGCTGGGAGAAACCTACACACGGTGGAAATTGGCCAGACAAACGGTTGCATTCTATGACAACTAAAAAGCAACGGGGTTAAGCATGTTACACGACTTAACCTACCCTTCAGGGCCATAAACTCCTTCAGGCCCTCTGTATTGTCTAGCGAGCGCATCAACTCCTGGAAGAGCAGAATAATGACGCAAACCACACACGGTACAATATAACCTATCCTAATAGAGTTACTAAACAATCAACTAAGACTCGCATCATTGAGGAGAGTAGGAGTTCAACAACGTGTTGGGTCTGGACCAATCACATCTTCAAATGAACGCAATGGCTGGAGAGATAGCCCAAACATCTTGATATACCGTTATGTCGCCTCTACAGGTCAGGCTTATTTCTGTAGAAGCTTATGTCAATGTTAGGGTTCGATTCGAATTGGTCTTGTATTCGATTCACACCAGGTGTTTCAATGCATATGCGGCAGCACTAAAACCAGGCTTATGTGCAGATGGTCCATCCTGAAGATCAGGCTTGTATTCAAAACAGCCATCTACTCGTATACGAGCCAGGCTTGTACACAAGACAGTGGGCCTGTCTGTTTTCTTACTCTCAGTTCTTGGTTGAAGTGCTGCATTTCCTTTTCAGACTTGTCCTTCATTGTCTTGATCTTCGCTTGTGCTTCGTCTCTGAGCATGGAGTGTTGGGTGGCAGGCAGCATGCAGCATATCAGGAGAGCTTGCAACGAGAGGTCCAACAGCGCACAAGTCTGACTGGGATTACTACGATTGTGAGCGACTCATCAGCGGCTGAGGCAAGCTCTCATATCAAGAAAATTAAGTGTGCACATGTATGTTCTAGCTGATGAGGATACTTGCACTACAGATTACACACCCAGACAATTCCATCGACATCCCCTGGGCCATAGGAGATGCTATGCAGTGACCGATGTTACGTGTTACGTGCTGCAAGCTGCACACTCTATGTTGTACTCTATGTTGTACATATAACAAGGAATGGAGAAACGTTATTCATACCTAACAACAATGAATGATGACCAGTACTCTTAGTAAGTCGATACAAACCCCCTAGGTTAGCAACTCTAATCTTGTCAACAATTAGCATTCTTTTTCAGCCAAGAGTCGTACGCAAATTACAACATAACAAAATTTATTTTTCAAGACATTTTGTTGTCAACAAACGTGTGCATCAAATGTTGACTGTTTACAGTACTGCCGGGCGCCGAAGAACGGCCAGGTTAGATTTTCACAAACTTTCAAGAACGGCCAGGTTAGATTTTCACAAACTTTCAAGAACGGTCAGGTTAGATTTTCACAAACTTTCAAGAACGGTCAGGTTAGATTTTCACAAACTTTCAAGAACGGTCAGGTTAGATTTTCACAAACTTTCAAGAACGGCCAGGTTAGATTTTCACAAACTTTCAAGAACGGTCAGGTTAGATTTTCACAAACTTTCAAGAACGGTCAGGTTAGATTTTCACAAACTTTCAAGAACGGTCTAGGCTGGATTTTTTCGCAGATAAGAATGGAAACTATGATGTACACTCAGAAGTATAACTCTGCATAAAAAGGTTTGGATGATACATTTCCATAATTTCATGGTAAGTCAAACCATGTGAACCAGCTAGTGTGCATATGCATTACCATGCAACAGTTATGTACTGGTACATGCATGTACGGTCCACGTGTAAACATACAATGGCATGCCCATGTATGACTGTACCATCGAATAAGAACGAAACGGCTGAGTTTGTGAAAATAAGAATGGACTAGGCTAGAACCAGCTGACCCGGCTTCATTGTTCCTCGGCACCCAACAGTACTGCACTACAACACTTTTGGTCAGAATGGAACAGAATTTCAGGGCTCACGGGTGGGATGCCAAAACTCGATTACGTGGGAGGACATTTTGAAATCTGATCACCATAGAAATGAGCTCACGTGACCCGAGCTACATGTACGCGGCAGTGCGCGGAGCACAGCAAGGACTCGAGATTTTGTGAGGAGAGTTGCAGTGACTGACAAGAAGAAGTAGAACTGAGGAAGATGGAGATCGGCTGGGGACTTGCGTTTCACTTTGGTTGCCGTTCACCGTCGTTGATGCTAGGGAGGTTTAGTCCAACGTAATCCGTGGGTACTTTACGTGTGTGTACCACGTGATACTCAGTGACCCACGTACAGACGTTTTCTGATTCACGACATACCGTGTATGGAGGCTCACCCACATTCCGCCAGAACGTGGGTGAAAATCAGAATGGAGCGCAATGTGCGAGCTGTGAGGGTGCTCAGCTGAAGAGGTTTCCGAAGCGCGAAATCAAAATATTGGATGAGCTTCTTAGGCCCGGGTAGCTTCGTCTTTGACCAGGTTTGGGCCTTTCGCCTCATGCTTTTGTTTGTTCCGTGTGACTAAACACAACATTGCAACGTGGGTGCCCTTCATCCACTTTACGTGGATCACCCACGTACGCGTTTCTGTTACGTGGGAACTAAACCTCCCTATTGCTTCTTTCCGAGCGAGTGTGTTGCGAGCAGTGCTGGCCACGTAAGCCGAAGTCTTCAGACAGTTCGCACACGGAGTCCTGCGATGGGTAGAAGTCGCGATTTCTGCCGCCGAGTCTTTGCTGAGAAAGGGCTCGACATCTATCTCGTCCGCTGATGCACTGGCGCAGGTGAGGAGAGGTAGAGGACACAAGCTCCTTGATGGAATGAAGCAAAGACTCACACCGTGTTCTAGTTCGTTATCTCTGTTCTCAGAATGTTTTGTAAATGCATGGACACGAGTGAAAGAGCCGTGCCATGCTGCTGTGAGAAGTGACGATGGAGAGTTGTGAATTATTTGATTTGCCACTCTGTTTCATTGCAAGAGGACAAATCAAATGGCTTCGCCGTTGTACTGGTCAAGTATTTTCGGTTCGCCATAGCTGCTGAAGCACACACCAGTAGAGCGCCAATGAGCGAGACAGCAAACGGTTAATAGTATTTCAAGAGTTTGTCAGTCACGGAGGTAGCCCTTGGCGGATTATGTCGGCATAATATTTGGCATAGTCTTGGGATTTCGTCAAAAAATTATGCTCCGGCATAATATACGGATTCCAACATGTAAGGTCGGCATAGTCTTTCGGTTTAGACAAAAATTATGCTTAGGGGCATAATACAGCTTTGTCAGAAAGCCTGCAGATGTTGTTTTTATACCATAGTAATAGTTTCATGTCCAAGTCTTTTAAAGTAAGCATGTCGTACCGTGCACGTGTGCTGCAAAAGTGAAATATGGGAGAAAAGTGCAAAAGTGCACAGAGGTCGCGTCCTGAACTCCTGATGTCGTCACCTCGGAAGCCACGCATGCGAAAACCATGCATGCATACATGTTTTTAATCTGAAAAGGCCGTTGTTTTTCCTTTGAAAATAGGGTGGAACCGAGCATAATTCAGCATATTTGTTGGCATAATTGTGGCATAATCAAAAGCATAATTTGACGATTGGCCGAGCATAGTCCGCCAATGGCTACACGGAGGAAACATTGCAAAAAGCGCCTTTTCTGCTGCCTCGCTGGTGTAGTTTCCGCATCTACAATGCATATGCACATGCTTCCTTCCTTGTCGTCGCGCACGGGAGTTCGCGTGCGCCCCTGCCGACTTAGCTCACTTCCAAACAGTATAAGGTAGCACAATATTGGCTGATTTTGACAATCGATGGCTCAAAATCTTCAGTAGATACTAAGCTACAGTTTAACCAAAGCGATTTTTTTCTAAATCAAGGGATCGCTGTAGAGCATTCACAGACTTTGTGACAATATCTTTAGTTGTGGTCGCGTGACAGTCGAGCTGTCGTCGCGTGAGCTGGCCAGAAACAAAACGGCGCCCACGTATTTGTACACAACCGTGAGCCCTGAATTTGAGAGCTCTTGTTATTTGTGTCTGGACTTCACATATAACATACACGTCCGTACATGTATATGTGATGTCCAGCTTTTTCCTTTTGCTTACCTGGCCTCAAATGTCTTTGCCGTAACAGCAGCAGTGGCACTCAGACCATCTTGGATGTGTTGTAGTTGCTGCAAGAACAATACGAAAAGCATCATATCGTTATGTGGTGATTAGTAGCTACAGCAGTACATTGATTGAGCCATCCCGCTGTCAAGACTCAAACCAATCAGACGATCATTTCCATTACTAGACCATTAGATGAACAGAATTATAGTGAAAATTAATCTGTGTTCAGTGATGTAGGATGGACACCATGTAGTTTTTCTCTTCCACTTAGACCCTTTGATGGTTGAATCTGGTTGAGATTTGACGGAGTTACGTTGGACAGGCACATTCCCTCTAATTTGGATACGGTATAATGTCGAATATTCTGCATAATTCAAAACTTTTTGTTGCACCGATCTGCAAGTCACTTAAAAAGTTAACTTAAATTCAAATGTGTAATTCGAAGTACAGTCAGACCTCGCTTATCCGGTCCTCTTTTATGCGGATCCCTCGCCATCCGGAAGAACATCGTTGGTTGTCGATATGTCATGCATATACAGTATGTGTGTTCGATTATTCGGTTCCCTCGCCTATCTGGATGTTTTTGTCGAAAACGGATGTGAGCGGTTAAGCGAGGTCTGACAGTACAAAAAGTGTGCCCGCTGGATAATGCAAACCCAAGATGTGCCTGCCGATTTCAGGTATGGCCGGCTCGTAAGAAGAAGGAATTGAATTAGATGCAATGGTGTTATGATTCTTCATCCACTTCACCACCACCACCACCACCACCACCACCACCACCACCACCACCACCACCACCACTGCAGTTGCGCTCTGCGGCTGACCACGCATTCCCCACAACAGTAACAAGTACTGAAAATGAAGTGGACGCAGAATTTTCAAGGGCCCGGTGGAGTGCTGCTGCTTACTTTCTTGGTGGTATGATAGCGGAGTAATGGAATTGTTTCACTACAGTGCAGGTTGAGAGTTCTTTAACAGGACAGGAACCTAAAGCAGACACATTTCACCCTCACCACACCCTGCTAGTATTTTCAAAGCTCATTGGTTTCTGCTTCTTCCTCCCTGAATGTGAGAAAAATAACATTGTCTGGGTGCTCCGGCCTGTGCATAGAGTTCTCCTTGGTGGCATTGTCTGGGTGCTCCGGCCTGTGCATAGGCCTATGCATAGAGTTATCCTTAGTGGCTCTTCACAGAATTATTGGTTCATTTATCTGACAATGGCCAAGTGTCGACGTGTCGAAAAATTATGGAGCTGGTTTAGACTTAAAGTGTTGTAGGAATGGGTGTATCCATCCAAATATGTTTTCTGCTAAGGAGCCCATATACAAACCATCAAGCTTTAGTCTACAAACTAAACACATTGCCACAAATAATACACCGCAAGGATGTTTAAACTATCATGATTCATAATACAACGCAAGGATTTAATACCATTTTTAGACGGCCTTGGACTTTCTCGAAGGTATTCCGCTCCTCTTTGAAGTGGTCAATCGTTTTCCGTAATAGCTCATTTTTCTTCAGCATTGAGTTGTACTCCTGTTTGACCTGCAGCATAGTAATTGAGCGCAGCAAAGTAGAGAGTGGGAAAAATAGATGCACACATGCCCGCACAAACACACTCGTTCACACAGTGATATGAGAATTGCTGACCCTACAGCCCTGCAGTTTCAAGGAGGCTGATGATTCTGCACCTGTGCTAAGTCAAGAGGACTGAATACTATCAAGTACTACGTCTACGCATACCTCCACATGCCCTGTACATGTACCAGCATCGCACGCACACACACACACACACACACACACACACACACACACACACACACACGCAGAAAAGTA